GACTACCTAACAAGGACCATCCTTGCATACTGCGTGCTCAAGGCTGGAAGTCACCATGAGCTGAAAGCGACCACTCACGGCTGCAAAGAGGGGCGATAAATTCGTGTGAACCTGCTCCTGATAAACGTCATAGGGCGAACTAGCTTAAGGCAGAACAAATCGCCAAGTTACAAAGGGTGTGGTCCGAGGAATATGAAAGTGGTGCTTCAGTCCCGTGCGATGTCAATAAGTTGCTCGAAAGTTGGTAAAAGAAAAGCTTCAGCCTTCCGAGCTCCGGATCAATACATGTGTTGTGTGGCGCATACGATGCTAGTCGGTAGTCAGTGACACGTAAGAATCGTATCAAATACTGTACAGTATAGAAGTGGTAAGCAACTGAACACAACTTGTATTGCACTGGCTACCAGACGTAGGAGACGAACGATAAAGAGCGGGAAATGGTGTAACACGTTACTCACCAAAGCAGTTGTTGAAAACGAAAGTGCCGTCAGTAAAGCAAGTGGACATTTTGAAGGCTAAAACAACAGTGAAATACAGTGTCGCAAGATATTAAACTAGTGCGTTTTCAGGTGCATTACAGGGGCCTCTCCGTTACAGGCTGTAGGACGGAAGCCTTTGATAAAAATGTCAGTATGATGGGTGAACAGGAGGTGAGTATGGGTGCGAATAGCAGTATGGGCTTGAACAAGGGCTTTCGAGATAGGGTGTGTAGTAAAGTTTGCTGTGTCCAGGCTTTTGTTATTTATTATTTATGATGATCGTGTGGGCCAGAGTGCGTCATCAGTTGCCAGTCGGGGCGGGCTCGTCGAACCGCAAGATACTGGCTAGTCCAGTACAAAGGCCGACAGGACGTTTTTCCGAACAGTTCACGGTCCTCGTCCCCCGAAAATTCCGGACATCCTCTTCGGCTACGCGTAGCCAGGCGCATGGGGACCAATCCGTTTGTGACAGTCCGCGGTCAAGGGCGACTGATTGCTCCTTGTGTCAGGAAACGAGCCTTGAGCGGGCTCGCAAATAAACTGAGAGATGCCTTGGCAATTCCGGCGGTTGCGTTTCAGAAGGTGCAAATCAGGGTGGTTTGTAGCAGGAGAGGGAACATATCATGCATAATAAAAGCAAAATACGCTTTTTACGTTTGCAAAATATGTTGGGTTCTTGTCGATTCTGAAAAAGGTTTATGGATGAGACACAATTCCTACTACTCGTTTACAAAACCTGCAAAAGAGACCAGACTTTTGATTTATCTACCGCGTTGGTCGGTTCCCTTGGGTTAAGGCGAGGTAGGTTAAAGGTCAACGGAAACGGAGGGTTTCGAAATGTTCAGTGCTCAGTAACAAACCGCAGGTTCGTTTGCCTGTGTGACAGCATCAGGATGGGTTGCAAGTGGTTCTTCAACGAACTCTACTTTGAGGCGATCAATGGACTGCTTGGTTTGGTGACCATTCTGGTCTAGTGTGATTTGTTTCGGAGTCCGTTGCACTACTCTGAAAGGGCCAGTGTAGGGAGGCTGAAGAGAGCGCCGCACTGCGTCCGTGCGGGGATAGAGGAGAGTGCAAGTAGAGTCCGCTGTACATTTGCATATCTCTGGTATGCTCACTGGACGGAGTCCCGCGTAGTAAACGCATGAGTGTAGCTAGGAAGGACGCAACCTTAGGCGGAGACATACCCTACGATGCGGGAGGTAAAACGAATTCTACTGGCAAGTTTAGTGTTGCACCGTAAATCAGCTGAACAATGAACAATGATTTATCACGGGATAAAAGCAAGTGCTTGACACGTCCCCTAGGATGACAGGGGTGAATATATTGAAACCAAAATATATTTGGGTCATCTACCGAACATCTGCCTAGATGAATACTTCGATAAATTACATCAGTGTAACAATTAAAAAAATTCGAGGCTTAAACCTTCAGAAAGAAACTGGGGTACAGTGATAATTGGTATAAGGGGTGAGAAAAGTAAAATTAGGTCGCTCACTTTGGTACATTTGATACATAAATCCTGTTGAAAAGCATGCTTGGCGTCATCCGCAATAGAGGAGTTTAGGTAACAAAATGCTTGGAGCCAAGAGCAACATCTAATCGTTTTATGAACACGTCCAGGGTAGGAGAGGATACAACTGATTCTGGGAGCGCGTTCCAGGGTTGGCAAACCCGAAGGGAAAAGTAAATCCGTCGACACCCTAGAAGGCTATATTGCTCCTCTCATTTTAAAGAGTTATCTCTGAGATACGTGTTAAGCTAGGTTTTAAAAAATGGCGGCGTACATGATTGGGGTCACTCAGTATCGGACACGCTAATATGAGATCAAAGCGCAGCCTTCCATAGCGTCCGCTGAAAATACCCAACAACTTCAGTTTCGGTGACAAGAGTGATATGGCAAACTCTTTACATTCTTTGTTGCTCTTCGTTGTGGTGCCTCTAATGCTTCTAGGTCGCGCTTCAACCAAGGTTGCCACGCTTGGATAGCGTATTCAACATGCGGGCGCACGCAGGAATTTTGCATCATTGGGAAGATTGATGAGTTAAATCTCCCGAATGCCCTTCGTAGCATGCCGACTGCTGGTTGCCTCTTTTCGCAGCTACCTCAGCCTGGTTTGCACAGTTGAGGTCGCTCTGTACGAGCACACCAAGGTCACGCTCCTGGGAGCTGGTCTGCAATCCGTTTGTCCCAAGTAAATAGGCATACTTATGTCTATGACATAATTGTACGACGAGACATTTGTCTACGTTGAATAGTAGGGCGTTTTGAACTGATCAGTTCGACACTTTGTTAAAACTGCACTGGAGCCGTTCGTGGTCGTCCGGTCCTCTGATCCTTCGCCATATCTTGATATCATCAGTGAAAAATAGGACATTGGAAGCAATTGATTTCGCCGAATCGTTAATGGGCACCAAGAATAGACGAGGTGCAAGAACCGAGCCTTATGGTACTCCACACGCCACATCGATTACATCAGACAGTGATTCTCGGACTCTCACCATTAGCCGTCGGTTGTATAGAAAATTGCTAATCCAACTCAGGATTGGGTCGCCAATGCCGTAGTTCCGAAACTTCTGAAGGAGGATGTGATGGTTTAAGCCATCAAACGCTTTTGAAAAGTCCAGGTAGATGACATGGACTTCTGATCCATCATCAACAGCATCAGTCCAGTTATTACGTGCAGGTCACAGGGACAGGCAAATCCGAAACCGGATGCCGCCAACCATTTATGTATGTATATGTGCCCCATGCTGAGTCAGGTGTTACATTCATGATGCTTCTTCACCGCAGTTGGGCTAAACCAACTTGCACTTCAACTAGGTTCTTTTAATGTGGATAAAATTCATTACATTTTAGTTAGTTTGATCTGCGTACTTGATAATCTTTCCCAACTTGCACACGTCGTTCATGCGAAATGTGGTCAACTTGCGTAATTGTATCGCGTGGTATGTTTTCTAAATAACTCGGATATTTTGTACTTATCGCGAATTCACTTATGACCAAATTCTTCACTATGCTCATTTAGCGTATATTTATGTCGTCATATGCGTTTACTTTATTTGATATCGGCACCTTGAGTGATTGGCTGTTGTTCTACATCCCAGGTGTAGCTTGCAGCGGACCGTTACCTAATGAGTTCTAGTGCTGGGGCAGAATGCAGACTTAAGCAAAAACACAAAATAGAGGAAAAATCAATGCACTTGCGTTATAGTTCCTTCTTCAATCGATGTTAGTCCGATGCCGACTAGAGGTTCTAACATATAATCCGAGTAGAGGATAGACGTGGCAGCAGCACAATCACAAGCAGTAGCAAAACCGAAAGCAGCACGACGCGAGCGCGTAGAAATTATTGTATTCAAAGTTGCGAATTTAAACAAATGGTACAAAGTGATCGGTAACGAAAATGATAAAAACAAAGATAAATTACCGTGTAATCACAACCACTACAGAACTCCCCCTAGAGCTTGCGCTGGTAGGCAAAGCTCGATACGTCGTTCATGGAGAGGAGAATGAAACAACACGACCTGAACGTGTTTGGACAGGGTCGCTTGTTGGGGACACAGGGATTCCGGGGCTTGGGAATCGGTTATGCATTTGTCATTGGGCAACGGCCCAGGCACACGAGGGTTGTGAGTGGTAGTGTTTGATTCGGTACCGTCTGACGTTGGCTCGACGTATGCGGGTTTAAGACGGTCGACGCTCACAGACTCTTTTGATCCATTCTTATCTAGGACGAAGTATTTCGGTTTCCGCGACAAGACCTTGAATGGACCTTCATAAGGCGGTATCAAAGGTCTCCGAACCGCATCGATTCGGATAAAGACGAACGGACAAGTGTGTAAGTCTGCATGTATACGCTGCTCGCGCGTGCTTAGTCGAGGTGGAGTCGGTTTAATGGATCGAAAATGGTGCTTTAGGCGTTCAGCATAGGACGTGGGATTCAGTTCGCTGGTGGTTCGTGAGTCTAGTATCATCTAGCCTGGAAGTCTGAGGGTGGTGCCAAATACAATTTCAGCTAGGCAGCATCCGACATCTTCTTTGACGGTATTGCGAATACCAAGAAGAATAGCTGGAAGGTGTTCAGACCAACGGGCATCAGGCGAACTAGCTGTAATGGCAGCTTTCAGTTGTCGATGAAATCGTTCGACAAGGCCATTGGCAGCAGGATGATATGCAGTCGTCTGGAAATGAGTACAACCAAGCAGTCGACTCAAGTCACGGAAAAGCGTGGAACTGAATTGAGATCCTCTGTCAGTAGTGACAGTGGCTGGCCACCAACAAATGAAATCCACGATTCAACGAAAGCACGTGCAACAGCATTAGAAGATATATCGCGTAAGGGAATTGCTTGGGGAACATGAGTAAATCTATCAACACAAGTCAACAGATAAGTGAAACCGTTAGAAGCCGGTAACGGTCCTACTAAATCAAGATGAATGTGTTTGAAACGGGCTTCGGGGAGTGAAATAGTACCGGGTGTTGTAACAGTGTGTCTGTGAACCTCGCTAAGTTGACAACTAAGACAGGTTTTGGCCCATTGTCGGATGTCCGCGCGCATATTGGGCCAGAAGGTGGTCCCGGGCCCGGGGCCTGCCCATTTCGCGGGTCCTCGCTTGAACACACACACGGACGCGTGAATGTCGGCCGGCTAGGGGTAGGCGGCGCCTGACGGTCCGCGCCGTTGCCGCGCACGCGCGGCTGCGGGGGGCCGCTGGACACAGCCCTGCCCGTCCCCGCGCTACCTTCCCCCCCCCCCGCGCGTAAACGCCGAAAATTAGCACCCCCCCCCCCCCCCTGCTTCGGCTGTGTCCCCCCCCCCCCTCTGCGCCCCCCTCATTACCCCCCTGGGTGGCCCCTCCGGCCCCCCTTACCCACCCCCCGGCCCGGGGGCCGCCTTCGTACCGCGCCTCACCTCTCCTCCCCCTGCCCAACATTTCCCCCCCGCTTGCACTGCCACACGGCCCCCCTCGGCCGTCGGGCGCCCCCTACCCCCGCCTCGAGCCGTGGCGCGGCGCTCCCCCCCCCCCCCCCCCCCGCCCCCCCCCCCCCCCCCCCCCCCCCCCCCCCCCCCCCCCCCCCCCGGATGCGCCGCCCCCCCCCGGTAGCGCCCCGAGGGCCGCTGGCGGGCTCCCCCCCTCGGGCCGCACCTCTGACACCGCTAACCCCTGACAGCTATCCGTCCGGGTGCCCCGCACCCTTCTCGGAGGTTGCCCGCTTCGGCGCGGCTACTAGCCCCACCCCGGGGCCGGCGCTAGCTCAGTTGCACACAACCCCCCCCCCCCCCCCCCCCCCCCCCCCCCCCCCCCCCCAGGGACCGGTCCGGACCCCCCCCCGGGCCGCCGGTGGGGGGCCCCCCCCCCCCCCCCCCCCCCCCCCCCGCCCCCCCGACCCCCCCCCCCCCCCCCCCCCCCCCCCCCCCCCCCCCCCCCCCCCCCTCCACGGCGCACCGGGCCCGGAGACGCCCGCGCTTGCGGCTACCCGTCGGGCGTCGCCCCCGTCCGGCACCCCCCCCCCCCCCCCGGGCCCACCCCCCGGTCCTGCCACAGCCTGGCGGCCGCGGAGCGCGCCCCACCCCCCCCGGTCGTGGGGGCCCCTGCCCCCCCGGCCGCACCACCCCGTCGAGTTGCCGTGGCCCCGGCCCCCACCCCCCCCCCCCCCCCCCCCCCCCCCCCCCCCCCCCCCCCCCCCCCCCCCCCCCCCCCCCCCCCCCCCCCCCCCCCCCCCCCCCCGTGCGGTGTCGACCCCCCCCCCCCCCCCCCCCCCCCCCCCCCCCCCCCCCCCCCCCCCCCCCCCCCCCCCCCCCCCCCCCCGGCGGGGTCCCCGACCTCGATGCACGTCCCGCCCGCGCCACGGGGGGGGGGTACGGGGGCCCCCCCTCCGACTGGCAGGGTCCCCCCCCTCTCCCTGGGGGGGGGCGGACTGCCCCCCCCCCCCCCCCCCCCCCCCCCCCCCCCCCCCCCCCCCGCCGGGGGCCCCCCCTCGGGCCGCGGGCCGGGATGATGCCCCCGGCTCGGCGGCTCCACCACCCCGCGCGATGACCCGCCCCGCAGGGGCCGGGTGAGGAGGGTGCCCACGGTGAGTGGGGACGGCCCCTCGCCCCCCGTGCTGCCCACGCCCCCCCCCCTCACCCTGGCGGCTGGGCGGCCCCATGGCGACCCCCCCCCCCCCCCTGGGCCCCCCCCCCCCCCCGGCCTGCGGGGGCCCCGGCCCCGCCGCACGCCCCCGTAGAATCCGCCTCAACCACCACCTCCTGCCCCCCGCCCGGCACGCGCCCCCCCCCTCCGCCCCCCGGGATGGCTCCCTGCGCGACCCCCCCCCCCCCCCCCCCCGTGGCGACCCCGTGGCGCACTCAAGCAGTGCCGTGTGGGCGCCTCAGCCTGCGGCCGGTGGCCAGGCCCCCGGCCGGCGGCGCGGGCGCCCGCCCCGTGTGGCGGCGGGGCGCCCCCCCCCCCCCCTGCCCCCGGGCTTGTGCCATCTCGCCGGCCGGCGTGTCCCCCCCCCCAGGCCCCCCCCCCCCCCCCCCCCCCCCCCCCCCCACCCCCCCGACCCCCCCCCCCCCCCCCCCCCCCCGCCCCCCATTCCCCCCCCCCCCCCCCCCCCCCCCCCCCCCCCCCCCCCCCCCGTGCCCCGCCCCCGCCCCCCACTATCGGCCCTAGGCTGGGGCCCCCAGGTCGGGCGCTCGGCTGGATGCGCGTTTCCCGTCGACCCATCCTCCCGTAGGCGGGGCACCCCCCCGGCACCGGCGTGCGCCTCCTCCCGGGGGGCCCGCGCCCGCCCCCCCCCCCCGTGAGAGCGCCGCCGTCCCGGGCACCGCCCCCCCCCCCCGGCTCCCCCGGGGGCGGCCATTGCCGCGTGGGCCCCCCCCTCCCCGAAGGGGGCCCCGGGCTACGTGCATCCCCGACGCGGCCGGAGGGGCACCGGGCGCCGCGCCCCCCCCCCCCCCCGGGGGCGGCGGGCCGGCGCGCCCGCCCCGCCGGGCGGAGCCCTGCAGCCCCCCCCCCCCCCCGCCCCCCGCTTGTCGCCTCGCGTGGGGGCCGCGGGAGGCCGCTCCGGGGCTGCCGCCCGTCGGCCCCTCAGGCCCGCCGCCCCCCCCCCCCCCCCCCCCCTCGCCCCGGTCGGCCCAGGGGTGGCGCCCGGCCCTCCCCCCCCCCCCCCCCACCCCCCCCCCCCCCCCGCCGCGCCCGTGGGCCCCCCCCCCCCCCCTTCAACAGCAAAACCAAAACCCCCCCGCGCGCCCCGCCCGGGCCGTGCCGCGCTCCCCCGGGACCCGCCCCCCGCGGCACGTCCGCGCACGTGCGCGCCCCCCCCCTCTGTGATCCCTCACCCCCCCCCCCCCCCCCCCCCCCCCCCCCCCCCCCCCCCCCCCCCCCCCCCCCCCCCCCGGCCCCCTGCACCCCCGGCACGGGGGTCCACCGCGGCCCGCACCCCGCCCGCCGACGCGGGCTACACCCGGCCCCCCCCCCCCCCCCCACCCCCCCCCCCCCCCCCCCCCCCCCCCCCCCCCCCCCCCCCCCCCCCCCCCCCCCCCCCCCCGCCCCCCCCCCCCGGGGTCGCCGCCCCGCCGCCCGGCGGGCTCACTCGGCGAGGCGCCCGCCCCCGCCCCCGCGGCCGACGGGCGGCGCGCCCCGCCGGCAGCCTGCGGAGCGCCTGCCCCCCCCCCCCCGGGGTTCGTCGCTGTGTGCTGTGTGTGTTTCCCCCCCCCCCCCCCCGCCTCCCGCGGGGCGTCCCCCCCCCCCCCCCCCCCCCCACCCCCCCGGCCCCCCCACCCCCCCCCGGCGCCGGCCGCCCCCCCCACTGGGCCCACCCGGCCCACACCGGCGGCGGTCCTGAGCCCCCTGGCCGCCCCGATGGGGGCCGCCCCCCGCGTCGGGACCCCCCGCGCGGGGCCCGCCGTGGGCCCCCCCCCCCCCCGGGCCGGCCCGCCCCCCCCCCCCCCCCCCCCCCCCCCCGCTCCCCCCCCCCGGCAGCGCGTGTGTGCGTGCCCGCCCCCCCTCCCCCCCCCCCCCCCCCCCCCCCTGCCCCCCCGGCCCCCCGCTGCCGGCACGCGCTCGCCCGGGCGGGGGTTTGGGCCCCCCTAGAGGATAGATATAGAGATGGATGGGTCGTTTTCGCGGGCCCCCCCGGCCCTTCCACGAGGCTCGCCCCCCGAGCCCTCCGGTCCCCCCCCCCCCCCCGGCGCGTCGTTACTGCCGGTGGGGGTGCCCGCCCGTGGCACGCCTCCCCGCCGCCCCGCGCGCCCCCAGGGCGGGCAGGCCGGCGCCCCTACCCGGTCTCGGCGGCTTTCCCGTGTGTGGGGCCCCCCGGCGCCGGTACCCCCCCGCCCCCGCGGCGGCGGCGGGCTGATTGCCTTTGGTGGGCTTGCCGTCCCCCCCCCCCCCCCCCCCCCGTGCCGCCAGGACAGCCACCTCCCCCCCCCCCCCCCCCCCCCCCCCCCCGGGCGCCGGCTTCCCCCCCCCCCCCCCCCCCTCCTCTGGCGCCGGCACCCCCCCCGTGCCCGCCCCCCCCTGCCTGGCGCGCCGGCGCCCTCCGGGCGTGTGTCGGATGTGGCCCGCCCCCCCGGCGCCTGGTCACCCACCCCTCGCCCCCCCACAAAACATAAATTCTTTATACGCCCGGTCCGGGGCACGCGGTTATGTGTCTGTGTGCCCCCCGCCAGGCCCTCTGCCCCGCTCGCCCCCCCCCCCCCGTGTCGGGGCGGGTTTCCTCCCCCTCGGGCCCCCCCCCCCCCCCCCCCGGCGAAAAAAAAAAAACCCCCCGCGCCCCCCGTTGGAGGTACGGCGCAGGGCCCCCCAACGCGGGCCAGCCCCGGAAAAACCCCCCCCCCCCCCCCCCCCCCACCCCCCCCCCCCCCCACCCCACCCCCCCCCCCCCCCCCGGGGGCGCCGGGCCCGCGCCCCCCCCGGCGCCCCCCCCCACCCCCCCGCCGCGCGCCCCCCCCCCCCCCCCCCCCCCCCCCCCCCCCCCCCCCCCCCCCCCCCCCCCCCGGGCTATCGTCGGCCCCCGTCCCCGGGCGGCGCCGGCCCCGGCCCGTGTGTGGGTGCCCGGCGGCCCCCCCCCCCCCCCCCCTGCAGCGGTTCCCTTTAGTGGCGTCCCCCCCCCCCCCCCCCCCCCCCGGCGCCCCCCGCGGCCGGCGGCCCCCCTCGCTACCGAGGCCTCCCCCTCCGGACCCCCCCCCCCGGGTGCAGGCCCCCCCCTGGCCCGGGCCCCCCCCCGCCCTAGCTGGGCTCCGCCCTGCCCCCCCCCCCCCCCCCTCCTGTGTGGTGGGCCGCGTTGGGGTCCCCCCCCTGCCCGGGCTCGCTCGTGTGCCGCCGTTTCGTTCCTGTCCCGCGGTGCGTGGTGCCAGGCCCGCCCCCCCCCCCCCCCCCCCCCCCCCCCCCCCGGCGCCGCGCGCGGGCCCCCGGTGCGCCCCCCGGGGGCCGCCACCCCCCCCGGGCGGGGCCCCGCGCGCGGCCCCGCGGGGTCGCCGCCCCCCCCCCCCCCCGGCGCGCCCTGGCCCCCCCCCCCCCCCCCCCGCCCCCACCCCACGTGGACGACGGCCCCCCAGGCCCCGGCGGGGGGGTCCCCGCCGCCTCCCGCGGCCCCCCCCCCCCCCGGGGCGCCCCTCCGACGGGCCCCCCGGCCCCCGGCCCCCCTGTGTTTCCCCCTTTCTCATCCCCTCTCCTTTTTTTCCCCTTTTTAAAAAAAAAAACCCACACCCCCCCCCCCCCCCCCCCCCCCCCCCCCCCCCCCCCCCCGCCGGGGCCCTCCCCCCCCCCCCCCCCCCCGGCGGGCACCCCCCGCCGGGGGGGCCGGCGCCGCTGCGAAAATACCAACCCCCCCCACACACCCCCCCCCCCCCCCCCCCCCCCTGGCCTCTGGCGGGGTGGCCCCCCCCCCCGTGGTAGGGGCCTCGTGCGCTGGGGCCGCGCCCCCCCCCCCCCCCCCCCCCCCCCCCCCCCCCGGGCGCCCGGCTTGGCCCCCCCCACGGCTTGCTCCTCCCGCCCCCCCCCCCCCGCGACCTGGGGCTCCCCCCCCCCCCCCCCCCCCCCCCCCCCCGGGTCGCTCGGCCCCCTGCCCCCCCCCCCCCCCCCCCCCCCCCCCCCCCCCGGCCGGCCCGGTGGGCTGCCTCCCCCCCCCCCCCCCCCCCCCCCCCCCCCCCCCCCCCCCCCCCCCCGATCGCGCACCCGGTTGGTGGCGCCCCACCGGGCAGCCTCCCCGGCCCCTCCCGAGGTCGCCCCACCCCCCCCCCCCCCCCCCGGCCGCACACTGGTGGCGCCGGGGATCGGGGGCCCCGCCCCCCCCCCCCCCCACCCCCCCCCCCCCCCCCCCCCCCCCCCCCCCCCCCCCCACCCCCCACCCATTCCTCCCCCCGCGCGGGCGAGGGCGGGCGTCTCCTGTGTGGTGCGACTCCCTCCGATGGCCTGCCGGCCGGGCACCAGCGCACCACCCCCACCCCCAGCGACCCCCCAGGCCGTCAAAACCTGGCCCGGCGCCCCCCCCCCCGCTCCCGGCCGGAACGACCCCCTCCCCCCCCACCACCCCCGGGCCCCAACCGGCGCTGGCCGCCGCAGCTAGCGGGGCCCCCGGTTCCCCGCCCCCCCGAGGTGGGGGCCGCTGGCCCCCGATATCGGCGCCCGGCCAGCCCCCCCGGGGGGGTCCCCCCCCCCCCCCCGGCCCCCCCCCCGGCGCGCGGCGCCCCCCCCCCCCCCCCCCCCCCCCCCCCCCCCCCCACCCGAGGGGGGCGGGTTCGCGGGCCTGGGTACCCCCCCCCCCCCGC